CCGCTACTCGGAAGGCTGAGGTGGAAGGATCGTCGGAGCCCAGCAGGTCGAGGCTGCGGTGGCCGGGAGCGGCCCTAGCACTCCAGTCTGGACGACAGAGTGAGACTCCAACTCAAAAAAAAAAAAAATAGCATGACCCCTGTGCCCCATCTTCCCTTTTCACCTGATCTTGCTCCAAGCGCTTCCCCCCCCCCCCCGGTTAAAAAAGTCCTCCAATGGAAACGTTTTGCCTGTGTGGACAAGGTGAAACAAAAAATGGCAGAGGCACTAAAAGACATCAAAATGGATGAGTTCAAAAATTGCTTTGAGCAGTTGGAAAACCATCTCGATAAGTGTATTGCATCACACAGAGCACTTTGAAGGTGAATGAAGTTTAAAACTTGTAAAAATAAATGCACAATTTTTATAAATAAGTTTTTTTTTAGATCCCCCACCCCTTGTATATCAGCAGCATTGTTTTTATTTTTTGAAAAGTATTATTATTTTTGAGTTGGGGTCTCAGGCTGGAGTGTAGTGGCACGATCATGGCTCACAGCCCACTGCAGCTTTGGACACTTGGGCTTAGCTGGTCCTTGCCTCAGCCTCCTGAGTAGCTGGGGCCACAGGTTTGCCCCACCATGCCTGGCTGATTTCTTGATTTTTGTTCTGTTTTGTAGAGATGAATTCTCACTTTGTTGCTGAGGCTGGCCTTGAACTTCTAGGTTCATACTGTCCTCTCACCTCAGCCTCCTAAAGTGCCAGGATTACGGGTGTGAGCTACTGTACCTGGCCAGCAGTATAGTTTTCTTTTCTTTTTTGGGGAAGATGGAGTCTCACTCCGTTGCCCACCTTGGAGTGCAGTGGCACACTCAGGGCCACCCCAGCATTGACTTGCTGGACTCCGGTGATCCTTCTACCTCAGCCTTCCAAGTAGCTGGAACTACAGGCGTGCGCGTCCACACTCAGCTAATTTTTGATTTATTGTAGAAACAAGGTCTCACCAAGTTGCCCGGGGTGATCTCGAACCTGCAGGCTCCCAAAGTGCTGGGATTACAGGCTGAGCCACCGAGCCTGGCCAGCAGCATAGTTTTTAAAAGTCGTAATTATATTAAACTTATCCAAAGAGTGCAAATATGAGTCAGTGTGCAAAAGATCAGCACAGTTTATGTTGACAGACTATAGGAGGAAAACTTATTGTTTAAAGTTTGCAAGTAAGGCATTCATTAAATTGTAACATTTATAATGAAAATACAAACTTAGGGTAGCTAGGAACTTCCTTAACCTAGTAAGTGATTTCCATCAGAAGCCTGTAACATAGGCTGGGTGCAGTGGCTCATGCCTATAATTCCAGCACTTTGGGAGGCCGAGGTGAGAGGATTGCCTGAACCCACGGGTTCGAGACCAGCCTGGGCAGCTTGGCGAGACCTCATCTCTACAATACTCAAAAAACTAGGCGGGCCTGGTGGTGCATACTTGTAGTTCCAGCTACTTGGAAGGCTGAGACAGAAGGATCATCTGAGCCTAGCAGGTTGAGGCTGCGGTGGCCGTGAGTATGCCACTGTACTCCAGCCTGGGTGACAGAGTGAGACTCCAAATCAAAAAAAAGAAAAAGAAACCTATAACATATACCATATTTCATAGTGAAGCATTAAAAGTGTTTTATTTAAAACCAGAACTTGGGCAAGAATTTCTATTATTGCCACTTCTATTCATCATTTCACTGAAAGTTGAAAAAATAAAACACATTTTTTGCAAATATATATCTATATATCTATATATGCTTATATATATCTCTATATATAGCCAAAAAAAATGAAAACACGTTTACACAAAAACTTAACACACACTTGTTCATACCAAGATTAATCATAGTAGCTAAAATGGAAATCCAAATGTCCATCTACTGATGAATGGATGAAATGTTTATAAATAAATATTTCATACAAGGTGTAAATCTTTCCTATATTAAAAATGAATGAAATACAGGTAATAGTGCTACAGCATGGATCAATCTTGAAAACATTATGCTTGAATGAAAAAGTCACAAAAGACCACATTATACAGTTCCATTTGTTTAGAATGTCCACAGTGAACAAATCTTAGAGACAGGAAGTACATTAATAGTTGCCTTAACGATGGGGAAATGGGGAGTTACTGCTAAGGGGTTTGGGATTTTTAATGGGGTGATGAAAATTGATTGTAGCCAGATTCTATGAGTATACTAAAAATCATTGAATTGTATGCTTTAAATGCGTGAATTGGGTGGCATGTGAATTACATTTCAATGAAGCTGGTAAAAACATCAAGGACCTTTCATATGGCAAAAGAGTACCAAAAACCATATTAAAGAAATTCTGCAGACTTGGATTAGTTACATGTAACATAAAATCATTAAAGGATCAGTATCCAGAACATAAGAAGAATTCTAAAACATTAATAAGAAGTAGACTAACACCCTGCTAGTATATGGCCAAAGGATTCAGGCAGTTCACTTAAGAATGAACCTAGCTTTTTTTGGAGGACGGCGACTCAGTCTATAGACGCCATCCCAGAAGCAGGAGGTGCCACTTCTCTTCCATTTCCCGCTGCAACCAATAAAGGCCGTTCCTACCGTTTAAAAAAAAAAAAGCTGGGCTCGGTGGCTCAGCCTGTAATCCCGCGCTTTTGGGAGGCTGAGGTGAGTGGATTGCCTGAGCCCCGGGTTCGAGACCCACCTGGGCAACCTGGCGAGACCTCATCTCTACAATAAATCAAAGAATTATTAGCCGGGCATGGTAGCGTGCGCCTGTAGTTCCAGCACTCGGAAGGCTGAAGCAGAAGGATCACCAGAGCCCAGCAGGTCGAGGCTGCGGGGGCTGGGAGCGGCCACTGCACTCCAGTCTGGGTGACAGAGTGAGACTCCAACTCAAAAAAAAAAAAAAAAAAGGAATGAACCTAAATAGCTGAGAAAAAAGTGAAAAGGTGCTTGGTTTCAGGGTGATGCCATTTGAAATAATAGGGATATCATTTCATATCTGTCTTGTTGGTCCAAATCAATGTGCGTTAGAATAGCAAGCAAGTGCTGGCACAAACATTGAAAAATGGAGCAAGCCCCTTCGTTGCTGGGGAAAGTGTAAACTGGTTGACCTCCTTTGGAGAATGGTCTGACGATACTAAGTCAAGTTGAAGAAGGGCCCTACTCTGTGACCTCCATGTGCCAGAATCACTCTTGTACCTGCTGTAGTGCCTTTGTTGGGTGCCTCAGTTTGGGATGACTCAGCTGGAGAACAGTCACATACATACAGTTAAATTCAGTGGACTAATCAACATGGACCAACAGAGATAAATCTCAGAAACATTTTGAATGAAAAATAGCATGAGGATATAGACAGTACATTTATTTCCCCCAAATTTTCAAATACAGTGTCAATAATTCTGTTTGTATATTCACATGTAGTAAAAGTTAACAAAATATGCATGGGTAATGGGACTTGCCAATTTAAGGGCTGGGTTTGCCTCTGGGTAGAGGGGAAGAAATACTATTTTCCATTTCAAGTGACTCTTGTGAGGACAGCATGCACAGCCTGGTTTGTTGCAGGTAGTTGCTGTTCGTTATCAGGGACTATTGATGCATCTTTTTGTCTCTAAAATGGAAGAGCTGCTGCAATTTTTAAAAGACTGCTTTTCGCTAATGTTGTAGTGTGCTTGTATTCATAGGTGCTTATTGTGTGTCACCTAATGTTCTAAGGGCCAGAGGTCAGGGGTGTGGCTGTGAACAAGACAGGCAAAATCTCTGCTCGCATGGAGCTCTCAAATGAGGGATGATAGACAGTAAACAAGTAGAAAAATAATTTTACTTCTGACCAACACTAAACAGGATGAAGGAAATAAGACAGGATATTGAAAGACTGGGGACTGAGGGTGGTCCGAGAAGGTCTGCTCTGCGGAGCAAACTATTGAATAGAGACCTGCATTTTAAGAAGAGCAAACATGCAGAAATGTTTGGGAAAGGCATCCAGGCCAAAAGCTTTCAGATTGGTCATGTTAAAAAACTGCAAGACTAAAAGGAACACACTTAACAAAAGAAGTGTAAGCTTATACTTTGAAAACAGAAAACTTTGCTGAAGTAAAGAAAACTGAAATAAATGGGACGACATCCCAGGTTCGTGGACTAGAAGACAACATTATTAAGATGACAGTACTTCTCAAATTGACTGACGGATTTGGTGCAATCCCTATCAAAGTCTCAGCTGAATTCTTTGCAGAAGTTGACAAGCTGATCCTAAAAAAAATAGCACAGCTAGTGTGGCCAGAACTCAGGAGAAAAGAGGGGAACTTGATGATGGCTTGTGAAGTCCTGTGGGCCGTGACAGGGAGCTGTCACTGACCTCTCCTTAGATCTGGCGGGAAGCCTCAGGAAGGTTTTAAGGAGAGGGGTGATGAAATTCAGTCGGTATTCATGGAGCGCCTACTCAGGACCAGGTGCTGGGCTGGTCTCGAGTGATATGGCAGTGAACAGGACAGAATGTTGAATAAATAGAGCTTCAACTTTTCGCTGTTAGGAAATGAGAACATCCCCAATTTATTTCTGTATGTGTTGGCATGTATTAGTGTCATATTACTGACCTACCTAAACCTTTTCTTAAGTGATATGGAAGTAGCGGTATTCATTATAGAATATGTAGAATAGTCAAACTGAAAGAGAATACATTTCTTTCTTTTTTCATTTTAAAGATATGGGGTACAATTCAGGGTTAGGTATACAAACGTTCATTATGCAGGTACCCTTGTTGGAGTATGCATATCTTTCAAGATCCTATCACTTTGCGGTAATGACAGTTAACATTTACTGTTTTTTCCTTCTGGTCTTTTGAATAGACTTAAGATCAGATCTTTCCCAAATTCATTAATGAGTGTTCCCCCACCCCCAACAATACTAACAGAAACAAAAGTGAAAATCATAGCTTTCTTTTGGCAAATCAGTCCACAAGTCTTCTGATTCATTTCTTTCAGGTGGAGCTGACCAGAATAATGTTCAACATCAACCCCCTGGAGAACCTGAAGGTGTACATCAGCAGCCGGCCTCCCCTGGTGGTCTTTATGATCAGTGTGAGCGCCATGGCAATAGCTTTCCTGACCCTGGGCTATTTCTTCAAAATCAAGGAGATTAAATCACCAGAAATGGCAGAGGTACAAATGTTCTAACTTCTCCTCTCAGGCTGTCCGGCCTTGTAAAGTAGAGGAACGCCTTTTGGCTCTCCATACAATGTCCCTGAGTTTTGACTTTTTCTCCTGATGAGAAAGATCAGTATTCAGAATTTTTTGTCACCTCCCAGTGACTCACCTTGTTAGGAAATATTTAGGTAGATAGATATTGTTTGATTTATATAATGCTACCAGTTTCAATTAGAGTATTTTAGCAATGAAACAGATGTATTTTGGAGAGTATATTTGTAAAATGATTTGTATCAAAGTCATCTCAATTTTAGAAAACTAAACATTTGATATTTTAAAGCCATGTATCGTAGAGTTTTGTCAGCTGTACTGATGGCTTTTTTCATTGCATAAAGAAATTTGAAAGCAGGATCTTATTTTCAAATATATTTGTTGTTTTTAATAAAAAAAAACATCAGTTATCTTTAAACTTTTAGAGTTTATATTTTGGGATTTGGGGCAATTTAAAAAATTAGGACTGGCGTTCAGTGGCTTATGCCTGTAATCCCAGCACTTTGGGAGGCTGAGGCAAGAGGACTGCCTAACTCAGGAGTTCGAGACCAGCCTGGGCAATATGGTGAGATCTTGTCTCTATAATTGAAAAAAAAAATTTAGTTAGGCATAGTGCTGTGTGCCTGTAGTCTCAACTAATCTGAGCCCGGCAGGTTGAGGCTGTGGTAGCTGTGATTGTGCCACTGCACTCCAGCTTGGGCGACAGAGCGAGACTGTGACTCAAAAAATAAAATAAATTATTGGGGCATTGGTCTTTAATCCTTAATTTAGGCATATGATAGTTTGAACACGAATAATGTAGATTTTAAAAGATGTGTAATTTGCATGTTAGATTACAAATTAGTTTTTGTTTAACAAAAGTGAACGACAGTATACCTAGTCATCCACTTATTTTACATATTGGAAATTATGCTGAATTTACCGGTAGATATGGTTTCTGCTGGAGTGCGGTGGCACGCTCATGGCCACTGCAGCCTCGACCCACTGAGCGATTCTTCCGCTTCAGCCTGCCAAGTATCTGGAACTATAGATGCATGCTACCACACCTGGCTTATTTTTTTGATTTATTGATTTATTTGTCTCACCAGGTTGCCCAGGCTGGTCTCAAACCCCTGAGCTCAGGCAGTCCTCTCGCCTCGGCCTCCCAAAGTGCTGGGATTACAGGCTTGAGCCACCCTGCCCAGCCCAAGGTTTTTTATTTTTGAGTTGAGGTCTCACTCTTGCCCAGGCTGGAGTACAGTGGCATGATCACAGTTCACCACAGCCTTGACCTCCTGGTTCAGCCTGTCCTTCTACTTTAGCCCCCCAAATAGCTGGGACTATAGGCACACATCACCACACTTGGCTAGTTATTTTATTTTTAAATTTTATTTATTAATTTTTTTGTAGAGACAAATTCTCACTATGTTGCCCAGGTTGGGCTTGAACCCCTGGGTTCAAGCATTCCTCCTGCCTCAACCTCTCCAAGGTGCTGGGATTTTAGGCATGAGCCACCACACCTGGCCTAGATAGGGTTTCTCTGAGGACAAATTAGTTCTTGTCTTAGTAGATTCCTTGAGTACCTTCTTTTGTTCTTTCTTCTTGAATTTTGTTTGTGGGTGGGGGTGGGGATGGGGGGTGGTTGGGATTGCATTGTTGCTGCATTGTGTTGGCTTTGCAATGAAGAGGAGAGTTCCACTCGGTGTAATCAAGATCCTAGCTTTCTCCTGTGCTCTCTGGAGTTACGGATCATAAGATCTTGGCAGAAGGGACAACCTTCACACATAAACTCTCTCTAACACAGTTAATGAGTTTTAGCTGTTTATCCTATGAAACCCTTGCAAAGAGTTTCTTACTAAGAGACATACTGGCTGATTTAATTCTCCCTCTTTTCTGACCCTGCCTGAATCTATAAAGGTTGTACAAACAGGCTGCACTCTAGTCTCAGCCCTACATATTCCAGACACAAAGAAACTGAGGCCCAGAGCAAATTAGGGACCATCCAATTCTAGTTGAAGTTAGAGTCAGTATCAACTTCTGTTTCACACCCCCCAAACTTTCCCCATACACCACTGCCTTTCCTGCCGTCTAGGATCCTCATTTGAAAAGAACATCACTAAATGTATCATAACCAAAGTTCTGCAGCATCTCAGCATTGTATTCCTACACAGCTGGAGTCCCTGTTGAACAGCCAGCGAAAGCCAATGCCAGGCCCCATTTTGATTGTTAAGGGCTAATTATCCAGGCTTCATCTTAACCACTGGTCTTAGCAGAGCGTTCAGCTGGACTCCATCTCTGCAGGAAAGAATTGCCAGGATACTGCAGAGTTTTCATTGTGACTAGAATGTTCATTTGCAGCCCTAAAGTACTAGAATGGTCTGCTGAGTGGGTGTTAGAGAATATGTAACTTGATAGATCCAGTTGCGGTCGTGCTAGATGTCACTTACAGTTATACTGATGCTACAAAGTTGGACCCACTTGGCTGCTTGGAGATTGCTCCGATGGCATTTTAAATTAATACTAGTGTTAGAATAATTGGAAAGGTAACTTGGTTTGTCTTCACATTTGGCATCTTTGTAAACTAATGTTGCTTGAGAGAAAGAAGTTATATGTAACAGCCTAGTTAGGTTTTTTTTTCCGTTTTAGCATGAGTTCAACTTTGGGTTTCTGCTAAAATTAAAGAACCCCAGCAGGTTCTTTTTTATGTTGGCATCTGTGTAACCATGATATAACTAGCTGTATATGTTTTTAAACTTGCTTGTGATTTAAATCATCAGTACAGGTCGTTGATATTAAGAGAAGGCTGAAAACATCTTATACCTTTCCTTTTGAAGTTGTTCCTGTTCTCAGTTGGTATCAAAAGTCCATGACAAGGGGGAAAAGGTACCAAATGTGTTTTGGTATTTACTGCTGTTTTGCATTCCATTTTATATTCTAGAGGCAGAGATCAGCATGTATGGAATTGACACTGAAGAATTATTTTAAGGAGGCCTTATTTTTAAGAAAAAATTAATTGTAACTAATAAATTAGTTTGGCTTAATGCTTTTTATGTTTTATTACTTTTGTTCACGTTTTCTTTTCAAGTTTGATTTTGAGGGTAGGTCATTTTCTCTAAGTATAATATGCTGGATTTTTAAAAAATATATTTTCTTGAATAAGTTGATTCGATTTCAGTGTATTGAATATCTTGTGCCAATGAAGAACTCATATTTAGATTATGAATATTAAGTGTTAGGAAACTCACACTGTTCTGCCAATGCAGGAAGATGATGCTGAGCTGTCACTGTTGTAAAAGATGGACTCTGAATCATAGTTTGCTGTTGTGCTGTGATACCACGCTGAGGGTTTGTGACTGCATTCCTGTAGTGGAGATACTGGGACTACTCACAATTGTTTTTCTTTATTTCACTTTACTGAAGGATTGGAATACTTTTCTGCTACGGTTTAATGATTTGGACTTGTGTGTATCAGAGAATGAAACATTAAAGCATCTCACAAATGACACCACAACTCCAGAAAGCACAATGACCAGTGGACAGGCCAGAGCATCCACCCAGTCCCCCCAGGCCTTGGAGGATTCAGGCCCAGTTAACATCTCAGTGGCAATCACTCTGACCCTGGACCCACTCAAACCCTTCGGAGGGTATTCACGCAATGTCACTCACCTGTACTCGACAATTCTAGGACATCAAATTGGACTTTCAGGTATGTGTTAGCCACTTTCAGACTTCTCAGGCAACAACTATCACAAGGTAGACAAGATAAGCAGTGTATGATTTTACTCGTCATGCTATCTTATTTTTGTTCATATCTCCTTTTGTTGATTTTAAATTATGTTAGAACTCAAGAAGGAGCCGGGCTCAGTGGCTCAGACTGTAATCCCGTGCTTTTGGAGGCTGAGGTGAGTGGATTGCCTGAGTCCGCGGGTTCGAGACTCACCTGGGAAACTTGGCGAGACCTCATTTCTACAATAAATAAAAAAATCAGCCAGGCATGGTAGCACGTACCTGTAATTCTGGCTACTCAGAAGGCTGAGGCAGAAAGATCTGGAGCGGCCACTGCCCTCCAGTCTGGGCAACAGAGTGAGACTCCAATTCAAAAAAAAAAAAAATTCTTAGTGAAAGTGCTTGGCTTGCAATTGTTTCTCAATAAAAGCATGCAAGAATAAGAAACTGAGAAAACTATAAGGCTTATTTCTGGTCTTAATATTTACAATAATTTTTATTCAGGTTTATCCTGTTAGAGTCTTCAATACTTACCCACAAATATACTACATCATTCTTAGTCTATAACCTAGAAAATGCCTAAGATTTGGTCTCTTCCCTTTGGAATTTTGTGATTATAGAGGAGGCACAGATAACATGAGTTAACGTTTATCAGAGACTCATAATAGTTCCTGGCACAAAGAAAATGCTATATAAGTGCTTGTTAAATTATGTGAAAAATAAACAGCTATAAAACACAGAGCACTGCCCTTTGACTAGTATTAAACCCTTGACAGACCATAAGTGATTCAAAAGGATGAGAAAGCAGTGAATGCTGGAATAATTAGGAGCAGCTTCACCCGGGAGGCCTGGGACTTGGAAGAATAACTTTTGGTTCTTTGGTTATGAAGAGCCTTTTTTAAAAGTCCTTAAAGGAATTTATGAGTGCCTCCCAGCCTCCTATTGACTACTAGTATTCTTATGGTAATTAAAGTATGAGTGACTTCTGAGTTTTCCATGTAGCTAATAGACCTTTTCCTTCTGGTGTGGCATTAGAACACCTTGGTTTTAACTTAAGCTACATCACTTACCACACCTTTCTTTTTTTTTTTTGAGTTGAAGTCTCACTCTGTCGCCCAGACTGGAATGCAGTGGCCGCTCCTGGCCACCGCAACCTCTACCTGCTGGGCTCCGGCGATCCTTCCGCCTCAGCCTTCCAAGTAGCCGGAATTACAGGCATGCGCTACCATGCCCAGCTGATTTTTTTGATTTTATTGTAGAGATGAGGTCTCACTGCCCAGGCGGGTCTCGAACCCGAGGGCTCAGGCAATCCACTCACCTCAGCCTCCCAAAGGCACAGGATTACAGGCTGAGCCACTGAGCCTGGCCAGATCTTTCTTAAGTGTATTAGACTCTCTGAGCCTTGGTTTGTTCACATGTAAAAGGAGGAAAGTAATACTTCTTTGTCATGTTCATTGGATAGTCGTAAATTTTCAGCAAAGTAATACATATAAGAGATGTTTGAAATGGTAAGAGTACTGTATAAGTGCTAAAACAGTGGTGATAATTCACTCAGCCCAAGCTTTCCAGCTCTGAAACTGCTTTGCTTGTTTCTCCAGGCCCTGGCTGAAAAGTGGCTTCTCTCTGCTATTTTATGGCTCTACTAGTTGAATGGGTCTCACAGGAGTCTTCTTGTTCCTGAAATCCCACAAAGGCGGGTGTCTGGGCTGATAGGTGATTCCTGGGTGGGTTTGATTTCAGGATTTATTCAAACCCCAGAGAATAATAAATATATGAATTCTTTTATTTACCAAAAAAAAAAACACCCAATTTCTCTTTCATAGGCAGGGAAGCCCATGAGGAAATAAACATTACCTTTACCCTGCCTACATCTTGGAACTCGGAGGACTGTGCTCTTCACGGTCACTGTGAGCAGGTGGTGTTCACAGCCTGCATGACCCTCACGGCCACCCCTGGTGTGTTCCCCGTCACTGTGTAAGTGTCCCTGGCAGCCAGTGTATGTGCATGAGAGGTTCTGTTTGCCATGAGTGTGACTGGGCTGCTGCAGCAGTACATTCTCAGAATAGCTCATGGTGCATTTCTTTGTGCATTTCTTCAGACCTGTCTAAAGGATTATTTCAGTTTAATTTGAAGTTCTAAAGGCGGAAATTCTGCATTTGAATGAATATCAGAAAGTTAGTGCTTCAGCAAGGCAGTAAAAGCCTCTGGTTGTCATTGGCTGTTCTTAGGCTGTCTTTCCTGAAAGAGTAGAAGTAGCATGCTACAGAAGAGATAAATAAGAACTGATCTGATGAACAGAGTGACCCGTAATCAGAACTTTTTAAAGATAAAAGTTTTGTTCATCTCCATTATCCTGGAAGAACTAGTTTTAAAATCAAGAGTATAAATTGATCTTACTTTCCATTAAACAGGTATTGTTTCTGAAGCTTTTGCTTCAGTTTTTTTGAGTGGCAGTCAGTGTTATTGCTTTGCCTTTAAGGGTTTAGGTTTTTTTGTTGGCCTCTCTTTTCTCTGTAAAGGAGGTACTGATCTATAAATAAATATGTGAAATACCTAGGTATAGCCTACTTAAAATAATTACGGTGAATCCTTTTTTAATAAGAATTATCCTGGGATTTATCTATTTTGGACATTTAGAGGTTTATAGGACAAGCTCACCAACAATAAGTGAAACATTATTTGGTGTTACAATGCCTGATGCAAAAGTTTGTGTATAAGGTTTCCAGTTGTAACTAATAGTTTCAAATTTGAGAATATAGGCTTAAAAGAGGCAAGACCCCCTTTGACCACATCATATATGAGTGGAATGTGAATTGAATTCTGAAGGCAAAAATACAACACTCAAGCTCCAGAATATCAGGTGCTTGCTTCTTTTTCTGTTATGTTTATTAAAAAAAAAAAAAAAAAATTCAAATATAATGGTATTTATCTCAAGGAAACATGACGTGAAAATCATATATGTCTATTTTATTTCTCCTTTCCACACGTGTTGCCACGTTTAATGTCGTGCCAGGCGCTGTAGAGATGGTACAAGTAAATGTCTCAGGCCACTGAGCATGTGTCTTTCCCTCTCTTCCCCTGCAGGCAGCCACCGCACTGTGTTCCTGACACATACAGCAATGCCACGCTCTGGTACAAGATCTTCACAACTGCCAGAGATGCCAACACAAAATATGCTCAAGATTACAATCCCTTCTGGTGTTATAAGGGGGCCATTGGAAAAGTCTATCATGCTTTAAATCCCAAGCTTACAGTTATTGTTCCAGATGTAAGTGAGAAAAAAATGTGTGTGTGTGTGTGTGTGCTGAAACTGTTGGTGTAGGCTCTGTGTGCTTTTTTGGGTTAGCTTAGCCTTTGCCACTCTTTTCGGTTGGGTTGCGAGACTAGGCAGAGTGATGAAGACTTGGAAAAACATGTCACCCTTTGGTTAAGAAAAATTTGGTTCTTTTCTTTGTTTTCTATTTTGTTCAGCAGCAATTTATTAAGCAACTGCTTAACTTATAGGGGTTATAAGAGATGCTTTTATAGTCTTGGACCGATGCACACTATCATTCATAGAAGAACACTCGGTTAGTGTCAATATGAACAATAAATAGTGCTGTTTGGAGTTTAGAAAGGTAGAAGTAAGTAGTAAAAGAAGATGACTCTTTGGCTAGATATGGAGGTGAATAGGATTTAACTACCAAAGAGGAAAGGAGAAGAAAACACTTCGTCTAGCAGGTGATGTGCTAACTTAGCTTCCTGCTTCCACCTGAGCCCACTGTTAACAGACTTCAGTGATATTTTGTGAATCCCCTTGTTAGTCTTTCTTTCTGTTAGCTCGTTTTCTCTTCTTTTGGCCTGGTCCTTGTCCCTTTTCTGTGGCTCACTACTATCAGGTGGTGGTAGTTGGTAGGCCAGGGACCTGCAGAAATGAGCAGAGTAGAGATCAACTGGATGGCCTGATCAGGCAGAGGCCAAGTTCCAGAAGGTTCTTCATTCCTCACGGAAGCATTTGGCCTTTCTCCTGCATTGATCTGCAGGGGTTGGTCAAGCTGTGCATTAGGAGGCCCAGGCTGCTCCCTGATGTGGTGAATGGGAGGGAACCCAAGGCCAGTGTGAGGATGGGATGTGAGAGGAAAAGGAATGCAAGCATATCTGGCGTCTCTAACAACTTGCAGGGCTTGGAGAGGGATTGCATGTGGGAGGTCAAAAAGGCATGAATCGAGAATGAACTCAGTATTTTCAGACAGGGACTTCGAAAAGTGGGAACAAGCAGAAGGAAGGAAGCTGCCTTTGGGGAGAGGTAATGTGCTGAGGCCTTCCTAGCGGGGAGTGACCAGGAAGTCGGAACACAGGCTCGGGCTGTCAGCTGTGCAACCTGAGGGCAATTGGAGGAAGAGGGTATGTCCAGAGAGGGCTGGAGGTTAAAGATGAAGTCTCAGCCGGGCTCGGTGGCTCAGCCTGTAATCCCGCGCCTTTGGGAGGCTGAGGTGAGTGGATTGCCTGAGCCCGCGGGTTCGAGACCCGCCTGGGCAGTGAGACCTCATCTCTACAATAAATCAAAAAATCAGCCGGGCATGGTAGCGCGTGCCTGTAATTCCGGCTACTTGGAAGGCTGAGGTGGAAGGATCGCCGGAGCCCAGTAGGTCGAGGCTGCGGTGGCTGGGAGCGGCCACTGCACTCCATTCTGGGCGACAGAGTGAGACTCCAACTCAAAAAAAAAAAAAAAAAAAAAAAAAAGATAAAGGCTTTTGCCAGGACAGAGGACAGCATTAGGAAGGAGTGTGGGTCGTCTCCAGCAAGGATCGCTCAGGAGCACCATGTCTTTACTTAATGAGATCCAGTTTTGGTTGTTTTGGAGACAAAAAGAGAAACCTCCTCTTCCCGCTTAAGAATGAAAGTTGAGGCAAGTCTGGTGGTTGTGAATCCTGTCTCCAGAAACCCAGCATTAAAATCTTTGAGTAAACTCAACGCAGATGTTCCTTTTTTCTTATTTAGGATGACCGTTCATTAATAAATTTGCATCTCATGCACACCAGTTATTTTCTCTTCGTGATGGTGATAACGATGTTTTGCTATGCTGTTATCAAAGGCAGACCCAGCAAATTGCGTCAGAGCAATCCTGAATTTTGTCCTGAGAAGGTGAGCGGTGGCTGGGGTCTGTCACAGCATTTTGCTAGAGGCCTCTGTATACAGAAATTACCAGTTGGTCCTTACTCCATTTATTGAGGGTGACACCTTCCCTCCAAAGAAATTACAGTCATCCCTTAGTATCCAAGGGGGATTGGTTCCAGGACTCCCGCAGATACCAAAATCCGTGAATGTTCAACGTCCCTTGGCATGGTATTTGCATGTAACTTACATACATCCTCCTGTACACTTTAAATCACCTCTAGATTACTTGTAATATCCAATGCAATAGCAATGCTATGTAAATAGTTGTTATACTTTTTAAAATTTTTATCTATTTTTCTTGTTGTGTTGTTATTTACTGGATTTTTCTTTCAAGTATTTCAATCCATGATTGGTTGAATCTGCAGATGCATAACCTGTGGATACAAAAGGCCACCTGTAGTTTCTATCTTTTCATTAGAAGTAGTCTTTACCCTCAGCCTAAAATATGTCATTGGATTTTTTTTCTTTTTTTTTTTTGAGTTGGAGTCTCATTCCATCGCCCAGGCTGGAGTGCAGTGGCACTCTCACAGTCACTGCAACCTAAACCTGCTAGACTCAGGTGAACCTTCTTTCTTAGCCTTCCAAGTAGCTGGAACTACAGGCATGTGCCACCATGCCCAGCTTTTTTTTTTTTTTTTTAATTTTTGTAGAGATGAGATCTCACCAAGTTGCCCAGGCTGGTTGTGAACCCATGGGCTCAGGCAATCCTCTCACCTCGACCTACCAAAGTGCTGGGATTACAGGCTTGAGCCACCATGCCCAGCCTCTTTTTGGCTCCAGCGATCCTTCCGCCTCAGCCTTCCAAGTGGCCGGAATTACAGGCGCGCGCTACCATGCCCAGCTGATTTTTTGATTTATTGTAGAGATGAGGTCTCGCTGCCCAGGCGGGTCTCGAACCCGCGGGCTCAGGCATTCCCCTCACCTCAGCCTCCCAAAGGCGCAGGATTACAGGCTGAACCACTGAGCCCGGCTCTTTTTTTTTTGGAGATGGAGTCTCACTCTGTCTTCCAGGCTGGAGTGCGGTGGCACACTCATGGCCTGCTGGGCTGAAGTGATTCTTCCACCTCGGCCATCCAAGTAGCTGGAACTACAGGCATGAGCCACCATGCACTGCTAATTTTTTGATTTATTGTAGAGATGAGGTCTCGCCAAGTTGCCCAGGCTGGTCTTGAACCCGTGGTCTCAGGAAATCCTCTCACCTCGTCCTCCCAAAGTGCTGGGATTATAGGCGTGAACCACCATGCCTGGCCTTGGACCATCAATCATATGCCCAAGACTTCTTAACTGTTAAAAGGAAGGGGCTTACTGTGACAGTTGTCCCCAAATACCCACTGGAGCACCACTGACCCTGGATAGACTGCCGCTCCTCTACTTCGTCAACATGAGAAATCAAAGGAATGCTGAGCAGGGTTTAAAAACAGTGCTGTCTCAGCATGGTGGTTCCACAGATCAACTGCATCTTGCAAGAGACTTAGATTTCTGTTCATTTCTTCCTAGAGGAGATTTTTTTTCTTGGGGATTTTATAATGTCTCTGTCTAGTAGATGCAGCCAGGGTGGCTACCAGGACTTTGATTGGGGCTGGAACCCTCAAGGGTGCCACTGGGGCTGAGTTCCCTGGGCTTCCCTGTTTGACTGGATTGCTTGTCTTGTTCTCTTCTAGGTGGCTTTGGCTGAAGCCTAATCCCACAGCTCCTTGTTTTTGAGGAAGACTGAGAGAACCATAATCATTGCCTGCTGAACCCAGCCTGGGCCTGGACACTCTGTGAATACATTATCTTGCAATGTTGGGTTATTCCAGCCAAAGACATTTCAAGTGCCTGTAACTGATTTGTACATATTTATAAAAATCTATTCGGGAATTGGTCCAATGATGCACGTGCTTTGCACTGGGTGCAGCCAGAGCCCTTCAACCTCACCTGTGGACTCGTGGACCTGGTGGGATATTTCAGTGTAGCACTAGAGAGGATTTGTGGGTCTTGCTGCATTGGAGCAGGTCATGATATTTTTCCCAAGGTCATAGGCACATTTTGTTGCTGGTGGGGTTGAAGTTTGATTTGGTTCTTGTTTCATCTTGATATGTACAGAATGTTTGAAGCAGTCTGCACCTTTGATATGATATTGCATTTCCAAAGCCACCAATCCATTTTGTGGATTTTATGTGTCTGTGGCTTAATAATCATAGTAACAAGAGTAATACCTTTTTTTCCATTTTGCTTGCAAGGAAACATACCCATCTAAGTTTATTTTTTTTTCTTTTTGAAGAAAAATAAAATAGTCACATTTTAATACTACTCTAGTTAGGACAGACTTGTGCTTTTATTCTGAGTAAAAAGTTAAATATTTAAAGTCACCTACATGGTAAAGATCTAAGTTTCATTTTCCACATGGTTGGTGAGGAACCTTGTCTTGTTTGAGTTGGCACAGAATGTTCTCTCTTTTGGTTCTCTGTTGCCCCTTCCCTCTATTATGAAAGTTAAAGCAGCTTCCTCACTCAAAGGGCTTAAAAATTAAGTATATGGCTCTAAGAGTAAGAGTAATAATGAGCTGTTCTGCTTTCTGGACTGCAGATGACTGTATGGAAAAAGAGAATGATGGTTTAGTCTAATAGTCATGAAAGGGTTTCTTGTTTTTTTTGAAGAGTGGGTGGATTTTCTTTCTTCCTTTTTTTTTTTGGCACTTATTTTTATGCAACTAACATCTCTTCAGAAGGCAAATGGCAATTAGCAAATCAGTAACATTATGAAAACGATGCCTGTGAAGTTTGAAGGAATGCAATTCTGATTTGTCATTTATTAGAGAAAACCAAAAGCATTTTTTATAACATTTAATCATCTAGTTCCTCTTCCCTTTTACCCTTCTAATCCTTCTTCATTTTTTAAGGAAACTGCATTACATTTTTTTGTCCTTTCTTGTTACTTGTATTCTTACTGTTTTTCTTAATAACTCATTGTCATTAATGACTTTTGTGATCTCCCAGGCAGTGTTATAACAGAAGGGCAATTAAAACCGTGGAGATGACTCTCAGCGCTTCTTTTCCTTAACTGTAGGTCTGTAGTCTGTTCTAAACTAGAATTAGTTCCTGAGGTCTGGAATACATTGGCCTAGAACACTTTATCCCAGGCATTCCTGAATAGAAAACAATTGTGGGCTTTTACTGAGGATTGTTAAAATAATCACTGTAGTAACTTGATACATTGGTATTTCTTTTTTTCCTTTTAGTATATTTCAAGCACACTAATCGTATTTGTCTATCCAGTCTTGTTTTTTTTTTTGTATGATACAAGTTGTTTGTGTGATGCATGGCTAACTTGTTAATTTAGTTTTCTCTTTAGAGACCCTTATGAGACAAGACGGAGAGAGCGTCATTTGGCTTGGCCTTTAGAAACGTCAGTATCATTAGGACCATCAGATTTTTAGACTAAGCTGCTACTGAATCAATAAAATTCCAATGAAGCAGAGTTATAGGGATGGATTTATAACTGGCAGAGTAGTATAAAAGGAAAAAGACAAGTGAAAAAAGTCAGTTTCACTGGTTGATTCGATCCAGCTTGTTGCTAGTATTAATTACCCTTGTTTTAATTACAGGGAATGGCTAGGATCTATAGCCAGGGGAGGAATGACACAGTTAGGCATGAGGAAAGGAAGTGCCAGAAATGCCTGGACAATATGGTTTGTCTGAAGGCCAGGACACACACTTTAAAGTCCCACATTCACCCTACCAGGTAATTCTCAAAGATCTTATAGAAACACAGAGTCACTCAGCTGTATAAAGGAAGACTGGGGAAGAGAGGCGGCCGTGGGACCAGGGTTAAGAGGCTTCATACCTGAAGAGACTTCTGCAGAATCTTGAGAAGTCCAGGGGACCTGTTACTATCTGGGCATTCCAAGACCCAATCCTCAGCTGCAGCTTGCTGGTGGGCCTCAGGATTAGAAGAGTGTTGCAGACGGGTCCGTTTGCCATTCAGGGGTGACCCCACACAGGAGCGATGGCTCATCCTCAGGCATCTTGGACTGGGGGTCCAATAAAAGGTCAGCAACTATTATTAAAATGATTGTTTCAGATCATATTGATCTCTTTCCTTTTTCCTTTTGTCCTTTCACTGTATGACTTGAATCAGTTTTGATTCTATTGTAAGTTTTTCTTGTTGTCAGGAACCTGCCGTTTCTGTTGCATTTTCTTTGGCAGTATGTGGGGATTCAGCATCCTGGTTTTTCAACCCTCCTGCAGGCACTGTGGGGTTACGAGGGCCAGCGGATCCATTTCACTTATCTTGCTGCATGATGGTCAGTAGCTGATCTGTTATGGCATTCACTCCCAGATTAATTTTCCGTGTTTGAATATGTGCATATGTGCTTTACAGAATAAAACATGAATTTATTTGCTGTCTCCTCTTTCTCTAGTCTGATGGGTGTTTTCTTTTTGTAAAATTTTTTAATTTTAATTTTTTCTTGATGGACTTTTTCTAAGGCAAGAACATACACAAGAAGCAACTGAGGGTGTTTTGCAAGCTGCTCTTTTGAAGTGTTACCTGTCCTAAGATGAGGGCTGGGCTGTGTTTTTTATTTAGGTGGCCTCACCAAGCACATGGGTCTTCTCCCTGAGAATACAAAACTTTTGTAGTTTACGAGATCCACAAGTACTCAATGACCTGACCCTAATCCTGCCCTGAGGAAGTAAGTATTAAATACAGACCAATAAGGAGCATAGGATAGAGACACCTTTCTTGGTTGCATAAACCTTTAGTGTGCACTGATCCTGAGTTACCAGTTAGCAGACTCCCTGCCCGCTCTGCTGTCTCCTGTTGCAGCACTCTGACATGTGCTGGGCCTCCTTTGCCAGGACAGTGCATCCTCTGTGGTTTCTGTAGCTAAAGGGAGATCGTGTTCACTTACGTGAATCCTTCCCTTTTCCAACAGGCAGGAGCTCCATGTCTCTTCTCTTCCTTCCTGGCAGGTGCCAGGGTCATGAGGTCAGTCTCAAGGCACTCTCTGGGACAGGAACAGCATTGGGGAAGGTGATACCTCAATGGGCCCTTTGTTTCGACCCTCCTTCACCTCTTCCTGCCTTCTGCCTATAACAAGTGGAACAGTATGCTTGGAATGCTGTGCTGTTCACTGGTCTCTCCTTGTTCTCGTATGTTCTTGTGTGTGGCGTTCGTTTCCATCGCAGTACAGAATAAGAGCTCACATCGCTCCCTTCTGTGTTCTGCAGCCTGTTTAAGTTCGTACACATAGCAAGTTGTCAAAGCCAGAGATTTTGCTTTAAAACCATTTCATTTTCCTGGTGGGCTCACTGTGCCTTCAGTTCCCTCAGACTCACAGGGGAGCGAGGATGACCAAAAAGCACAGACCGCAGGAGCACTGCACAGTCTAGTCAGGCTCATTGTGAACTTAGTTGCCGTCTCAAAGAAACCTACCTAAGGCCATTTGTGAGAGCTCACCTTTTCGCCTCTGAAGACCCTACACTCCATCTACCATGCTGGTTGTTGATTATGGGAGAGTTAGAGTGGTTTCAAGTTGTTGAAGAACAGATGGCAGTAAATTGTGCTATGTCCAAAGGAAAAGTAGGGGTTGAGTTTTGCAGTTGATATTCAGCCTCTTTTCTCCAGGCTCTTTTGCTTATTCAATAACAGATATTTCCTGGGCTACTTTTATGTTCCCTTATTGTTGTAAGAACTGAGGATACAGCAGTTCGCAGACACAATACTTGTTCTTTTGGCACTTAGTAAGGGAGACAACCCGCAAACACATAAATATATTTATCATCTAGTGGCAGATAATGGTGAGATAAAGATTACCAGGGTAGAGAATGACACATGACATCTCCGTTGGGGTGGTTGCAGAAGGCATCTTGGAAGAAGTGTGACTTGAAGGAACACAAATGGGGGAGTTTAGACCAAGACATTCCATGTGAAGGACAGGGACTGTGCTTCTGATGCACAGAAGCTGCACTTAGAGGCCCCGGCTTATTGCTGGGTGGAGGCTGGGAGTCTTGCAGGGACCTGTCTTCCCACCCAAGGGCAAGATTCCTTGTCTGCTGCCAGAGGGGTCCCAGAGGGGTGTCCTGCAAGAGGCCGTGCAGGGATCTGCTTCACTGGTGATCCAGGAAGGGAGGTCTCAGAACTGAGCCTAGGCGCTGACTCCTGCAGGCTGTGTGACTTTGACCAGGTGGCTTAACCTCTTGTGCCCACGTTTCCTCATCTGTTAAAACAGGGATAACAGGACCTACTTTAATATGATGGGGATTCTGCATGCTAATATAGTGTGCGGCACACAGCAAATGTGTCATGTCGGGACGTGGTAAGGGGAGGTGTCTGAAAATATGGCTAGTGGGTCTCCTCTGGTCACCCTTTGAGAGAGGAGAGCTAATAAAGGACCAGGGTTCTCCCCTAAGCTCTGGTCTGTCATTAACCGGTGCTGCTTATGCTATGGCTTCTTAGCATTCGTTGGGTGTATGAGAATCCGTCTCCAAAAGGATGTGTGTATAACACAAATCTCATGAAATGATAATCACTCTCATTACATAGGACACACACTGTATTTTTAATTTTAGTCTCTTCTGTTTAAACCAAAACACTGAATGTGGCCACTAAATTGATTATGCGGCCCACAAATGGAAGGCAGCCTGCAGTTTCAAAAACATTTATCTAGATAAGATCCCTCACAGCTGAGAGGTTTCTGAGTCTGAACGCCAACGTTCTAGCTATCAAGAATTCATTGTGTCGTTTTTGGCAAGTTGCAATCTCTCCGGGTTGAGTCGACCTCCATTTTAAAGCAGAAGAAGCCATTAATCTCAAGAAAAAGGCACATAGAAGAAGCTAGGGAAATTGCCCTAGTTAAAAGTTCTGTGCCTTTAATGTTCTGTCCATCCAACAATTCATTACTCCCCAACCCCTTCATCTCCAGCCTACTCTCAGACCACCTGCTGGGTCTGGAAATCCCTTCTCAGAGGCACTTGGTTCTGTATGCTTCTGTCCTTGTCCTTCAGCTGGGTCTTGCAACATCTTCATGACCGTGAGACTGGGTCACATATATCATTTCTGTAGAAGCTGGGTAATCCATCTCCCGTGGCTCAATTGCCCTGGTCCTCGGCACAGTGGTCCCTGCCACTTTTACTTTGGCATATGTGATGGGCACTGCCGTGGTCTGCTCCCTTTCCCTCTGGTCCAGCCGCTAGTGTTGGGGAAACTGAAGGCCACCTGGACACACTTAGGGCATCAGGGACTCCTTGGCCCGTTTCATCCCACCGAATATACGACTGGAATCGCCCTAAAAGCAACAGCAGGTGAGTTTCCACAATTGTTCTGGAGATGACCGTGTGAATGGGATGGTTTTACGTACAGAGTGACAGGTGAGGGGTTTAAATGGGGCACTCCGAATCCTATGACAGGGCTGCTGGAGATTTTTGTTGGTAAGTTTCTCCCCCAAAAGTACACTCTTCTCTCATTGGTTGCATTGCTGGAAAATATAGTGTGTGTTAAAACGGTGCAAAAGGTACTTTGTGTAAAATAGAGTTAGGTACCAGACTCAAATAATGATAAGCATTTTTCATCTCTACGTGAATGTTGGATAGGACACTGGAAGCCACGTGGAACTTGTGACATCTTTCCACTATCAATGTCTTCATCCCAGGAGTGGCTTGCTAGTATTGCGATGACCTCAAAGCCCTCAAACTTCTAAAGTGACCCCGAGGGAGTGTCATTACCCTATTGGAAACCAAGGCTCCAGCTTCCTGCCGAGACTGAGGTTCCTGATCGCCTCAGCTTTTGACTTTCAACCTAACTCTGGGCACTTACGGCAGGTGTTATCCCCTGACCCATACACCAGCCTGTGTTCTATGCCTCTTGCTGTCCCCCAGAGGGATGCCCTGCCCCCGAAGACATCCATCTGGTACTTAAGGAAGCCCTGGTCCCACCCAGGCAGATACTGAGACTGGGAGACAAGTGGTACACTTATAACCCCATTCCTTTTTCTGCATGCACCATCTCACACACAAACAATGCACAGAATGCCATGGGAACCAGAAGGAGTAACTGATCTTACCCATTGTCCTGTACGTGTTTGCCATACCCAGATACAAAAAATGATAGCCTATACTCTGGGACATAAGAAATTGTACTCACAAAGTTAGTGGTACTGCAAAAACATGCCATACGTTGGGCTAGGTGGGTGGCTTGTGATGGATGATTCATGGTATGAACTGGAAATAATAAGCCAAAAACACAGTGAGCAACCGAGAAACTGGGCAGAATTGTTCGATATGTAGGTAATGTGGGATATGTGACTTTTAGTGACAGCAGCAGTAGAGATTTTGGCCTGGGTTAGACTCCAGAAAAAGAGATATTAAAAGTCTAAGCAAGGCAAAAAGTCCCCCAGGTGGCTGACTTACCCACTAGGGCTATTCCTGAGAGGTAGGACTCCCAGCTGATCCTTTGGCAAAGGGTGAAAACCTAACTTGCTCAAGGTGTTTGAGCAGAATCTGCCCAGTCATGGGCTGACAACTATGCTATGCAGACTCAGGGGCAATCCCTGTGAAATTTTTATTTTATCAAAAATGAAAATATAAATTTAAAAAAAGCAAGTGGAGCCATCCCGGGCCACGAACCGTGGAGAAGAGAGATTCTACAGATTGCCTAGGCAATTTACAACAACAACTATCACCACCGTCGGGTGAAAAATAGCCAAAGTTCCCACAAGACATCTAAAATGTCTAGTTTTCAACGAAAAATGGAAATCAAAATAAAAAATACAGTACCATCTACAAGTGTTTAAAAATACTTAGGTATACATCTGACAAAGGATAGACAGGACTTGTATGCTGAACACTACAAAACTGATGAAAGTAATCAGAGAACATCTAAATAAATGGGAAGACATACTGTGTTCATGGATTGGAAGTCTCAGCATAGTAAAGATGTCAATTCTTGCCAAATTGACTTATAGGTTTAAAGCAGTTCCTGTCAAAATTCCAGTAAGAGTTTGTTGTTGTTGTTTTTTTTTTTTAGACACCACCAAACTTAGAAGTATGGGTACAGGCCCTAGAATAACTAAAATTCAGAAATACATCTCCCGTTCTTGAAAAAGAATAGTAAAGTGTGAGGAATCACTCTACCTGATATTAAGGCTTATTATATAACTACAATAATGATACTAGTAAAGTATTGGTAGAAAGGGCAGAGACATAGATCAATGAAACAACAGAGAACACAGAAATAGGCCCACACAAATATGCCCACCTGATATTTTTATAAATGTGCAAAAGCAATTTAGTGGAAGAAAGATAGTCATTTCAACAAATTGTGCTGAAGCATTTATTTGCATATTGTTTATAGACCAAATAAATAAAAAATTTAAAAACCACACATTAAAAAAACACCAAAAAAGAAAAAAAA